CTTGATTTGGACTTGTAAACCTTTTAAACTCGTGTCAAGGAGTGCTTCATTTGATTTGGACATGTAGACCTTTTAAACTCGTGTCAAGGAGTGTTTCACTTGATTTGGGCTTGTAGACCTTGTAGCAACAAATTCTTATCTGCGATTTAGACAAACAAGAAAAACTTGCACAAAGATAATTTATTGAATTAAAATAAAATATTGCGGGTTACAAACTCTAATTTAATCCTCTGATTCTTCTCTCAAGAACAATATGCGTTTGACTTTGAATTTCGGAGTCGGGTCGTTGACTTGATCTTCTCCGGATTTGATTTGGATTTGAATAACGTCTTCCAAGGGTCTTGCGACTTGAATCTCGGATCGAACGCTGAACTTTGACGGGTTTTGACTTGAAGATCTTGGAGTTCTTGATGGATTTGGCCCTTCAATCTTCCTTCGATCTTGATTTGTTGAACTTTGACGGGTTTTGACTTGAAGATCTTGGAGTTATTGATGGATTTGGCCCTTCAATCTTCCTTCGATCTTGATTTGTTGAAGAACGCCCTCGATCTGATGAAAAACGCCTTGAATTTGTTGAAGAACGACTTGAATATTGTAGAGAGAATTTTCTCCTACGGTTTTTCTTCTTCTTGAGTTGTGTTTTGAATTGTGTAGAGAGGGTCCCTATTTATAGTGGTAGAATAAGAGTCCTACTTAAAGTCTACTTGATGACGTGGCGCGATTTGATTGGCTCTCTTTAAATTGATATTTATCTCTTATAACTTGGAAGAGAAGAAATAATCCTATTGGCCAATAATTAATTGATAATTATCTCCACGACTTATTTTGCAAGATAAATTATAATCTTGGGATTCAATTTAATATAATATAAATTATATTAAATTTACGTGTCTACAAATGCCCCCTCGAGACTTGTTCACGGACAATGCATCTTGGAGTGGATGAGTCTCGATAATTACTCAACTTCAATTGCAGCTTGATCTAGCAAAGCACATATATCTTTTGAAATCATGACTGAACTTAGAGAGATTCTAAGTTGCCTACGTACCCTATAAAGGGATCAAGTCATAACGTAGTTCAAAATATATCCTTTTGAGGGATGTCGTGCACAGTTTATACTCATGTGGCAAGGAGAAACATTTGCAGTTTAAGCTCGTGCTGAAGAAGCATTGACTTGATTTGGTTATATTGATAGTTTAAGCTCGTATCAATGAGCCTTGACTTGATTTGGATATATAGATAGTTATGCTTCGTATCGAGGAGCCTTGATTTGATCTGGATAATGTAGATAAGTTTATGCTCGTATC